AGAGCACTCAAGAAGCTAGAGTTACTCTCGGCTGTCGCCTCGAGCACCTCTTACGCTTCTTTCGTGCTCTCCAAACTTCCCGCGTGCATCCATTACTCGATATACGCACGCTAAGCATGGACCAATTCTTAAATGTACAACCGTCGAACATTTGCAACCGAAGATAACATACATAGGAATGTCGAAACATGTTTTGTAAAATGAAAAATGTCCCATCTGTAGTAATGGCACGAAGCGTCCGCTTTCTATATTCCCTTCAACAGTTAATGAACCTTAATCGACTCCAAGTGCCAATAAACTCAGTGTTTACCCTTGGTAAAGCACCTGCCCATTAAACAAAGGTGATATGTTGGCTTTAGCAGTACAAGCTTTACCCTGGTAAACCATTCTCAAATTTCAACATGTAAGGTTAAATGCTTACTGTTTACGGGGCTCCCTTTTCTCTGCCATCTCCCCCCTGCCTCCCCAATAAGGCAGTCTTTCGATTACATATATCTCATTAGATGTTTTGGTGTGTAGTATCGCTGTATATTTGTACTGTTATTTGGACGGTATTCGCAGCAGTTGGGTAATAGATCACCATACAGGATTAGGTAAAACAAACATAAGACTGCAGGCAAGAAAAAGTACAACAAATGAATGTTTTCGACAGGGATGTCACTGAGAATGAAAATGTGTATTTCTGCGTGATGTTATGTACAAGTTCTGTTTACACCTTATCCATAACAAAAAGCGTCTTTGTATGGAGTTCTCACATAACTTATATTGTTTGCTTCTAAAAATTCCATTGTTTTCAGAAACCGGGCAAAGCAACAGGCAGAGTTAACAACGCCTACTTATTGACTCAACGTAGAAAGCGTTTTATCTTGTGTTGTTTCAATACGGAAATAAGTTCCTGTTTCAAATCAATTGGGAAAGCATTTCGTGTGTTGTTTCAAAATATGTGAAAGCATTTCCTTCGTTTCAAGGGAAAGTATCTCCTCTGTTGTTTCAATAAGGGAAAGCGGGTTCGATGTTTCCAACAAGGCGTGGTCTTATTCAAAGGCGGAGTCCGTGTCCAAGTCCGTTGACAATTCTGGCTCGAGTGTATTAGGTACAGCGGTAACAGGCTCTATCTCTGCGGCAGGCGCCTCTACAGATGGAGATTCTCTCTTTGCGGGGGATATTCTGTGCTTTCCTGAGAAAACAAA